TATATATATATATATATATATATATATATATATATATATATATATATATAAAATAAATAATAAGAAAAAAAAATACAAATAAAGATATAGTTTAAAAAACGAATAATAAATAAAGAAGAACTTAAGTAGGACCAGGATGCCACTGAGAAACCGCTCAAGCTAAAATAGAATGATTTGGATAACGTTAATATTTAAATGTATATTTTCTTAATGTTTTTTTAAAAATATTCCATCGATGAGATCTCAGCCTCTAAAAAAACACATTTGTAAAATCTTTTATTATCAAAATTTTCTAACTGCTAGCTTTTCTTTGCTTTTCGGTGTCCACTGCATTTGCAGTAATCAATCGAACATACTTTGACTTTTGCAATCATTTTAAATAAGCAATAATTTTAAATTTAATAATATAACAATATAACTGTTAAAGAACAGTCATTAAAACTGCAATTAATAACAGCGCTTTTTTTGGGAATGAATGCCTCCATTATCAACATATTTTATAAGTTTGTCTAATAGTTTACATTATGTTTAAATTTGTCAATTTCAAATCAACGAATAAAATTTTATTTTAAAGAATTAAAAATCTTGTCTGACAAAATGTCCGATGACTTTGTAAATTGATCGAACAATCTGAGGTTTTAGCCAGACAATGTCCGATGTCCGACTGTTAAATTAAGCCGTGGGGCCAAGGATTAAACCTTGAGGAACCCTAGAGTTTACAGAATAATAAGAGTGCTGTCCATCAAGGACAACTTTTATACTATGATTGGAAAGGAAGGATTCAATAATCTTAAAGATGTTTCCAGATAGACCAAAAGAAGAAAGCTTATGGAGAAGACCAGCATGCCAAACTTTATCAAACGCTTTAGAAATGTCATGGCCTTTTCTACCTTTATCTAATGCGCGATAAAACCTATTAGTTATTACTGTTAGCAAATCAGCTGTAGAACGAGAAGATCGAAATCCATATTGATGATCAGAAAGTAAGTTATTAGATTCAAGATGAGAGATTAAGTGTTTGTTAATTAAAGATATGATAGGAAAAAGACTAATGGGACAGTAGTTAGTAGAATCAGATCGCTTTCCAGAATTTTTGAGAATAGGGATAACAGATGCTGCTTTCCAGCAGGCTGGAAAACAAGGATAGACGACAGCTCTATTAGAAATAACATCAAGAAGAGTGCAGTCTTGAGATGAAGGAGAGCAATATAGAACAAAGAGAAAGGTGATAGAGTTAAGTGGTGCTAAACAAAAGCACATAAAAGAGTAGTCTGTGGATTCAAACCTAGTTTCCTGACAAATGGGCGAATTCTTACGAATATAAATGCTCAGGCCAAGCATGTGACTATTGGAGTCTTTACGAATTAAAGGAAGATAACCATCAACACTAATATCACAAGATGAGACAGCTGAACTCAAATTAGTCTCACAAAGAGTAAGTAGGTCTGGTGAACTTTGCAAGAGATAAGACTCAACAGAAGAAAACTTACTTCGAAGACCACAAATATTAGTGAATGATAGGTTTAGCAAAGTTGGTGATGACTGTGGTTTTTTGTGTTTTATAGTTTTGTTACTTTATTCAATTTTGAAGTTGTTAAAGAACTTGACTGGAAACATAGATAGTACTCAGTACACTGATTTATAGCCCAAGCAATTGCCTCGTTTCTATTAATAAACCCTATGCCGTAACAAAGGGCTCCAATGTGGCCTTGGCAATGCACACCAAAAGTACATACAGCGACACCATCCATGCGCAACATGGCACTGTTAGTGCTTTAATATTTTTTACCTGTTGATGGAATCAGACTCTCTAAGAGCTACCTCAGAGTTCAGGAAACCTGACTACCAGCCGGCCTCAGAACCATTAAACTGAGTTTTAGAACTGTACCCTCATTTGGAGATAATAGAATAAGCTGCCTAGTCATAAAAACAGAGACACAAGCAAAACCCATGCATCGAGTCAAGAAGATCCAGCATTCAACATCCAAAACTGGAAACAATGTATTAAAAATACATCTGCGCCAGTCTAATAGATGAAGAAGAGGTGCGAGGCTAATCAACAGATAGAATCTGTTTACCTTAAGTCTTTGCCTGGAAGGCCTTCTACAAGATAGCAGCCGGATGCATTTAACATCTGCCCAAAATGAGTATTTTTATCGAGACACCATCTCTAGTGTTTACTCAACCAAGCGGGTACTATTATGTTAGTTGGTATGTCCTAACCTTTGCCTAAAAAGGTGTATCCTACAAGGCAGCAGGACATGTAGCAGATTGTAGTAGATTACATGTTAGCAGTAGAAGGATAAACCTGACCTGACATTAAATTATTTATCTTATGAAACAAATCATTTTTAGATTTTTTATTTAGAGATTTAAAGTTTATTTGTGAAACCAGCAGAAAAATGAATATTTATAAAAAATACATAACTAAAATATATGATAGAGCCTTAAAAATATCTATGGTACAAGACAAAGCAAACAGAAAAAATAAAATAACTTGTCATCAACGCATGAGTCACAAAAAAAGTCAAAGAGAGTGAAAAGTCTTTAGTTTTCTCAACATTGTTCAAAAACCTTATAAGTTTTAAGGTTATTGGGTCTTTCTACTAGTAAGATTAGTATTAAATTTATTATGCTACATGGTCAAATGACAAGTTCTGCACAAAACATTATTTATTTAATAGGGAGTTGATGTTTGTGTATATAGCTTTTACGGATTTAATTTCAGTAATTTTAATGGCTTGAAAATTATTCCAATTTTTTATAGTTTTTTTATATTTTTTATTTACTAAAATTGAGTTTGATGACTTTGTTGCACCTAATGCACCATCGAAAGGGTGAGTTTGGTTCTTTTTCTAAGAGTATTTGGTTTTTTTTAATTTCTTTTTTAAGTTGAGAATCAATTTGCCTTTCGACAGGTGTCATATCTGGAATAAAAAAGACATTTGTGTATTTTATGTTTTAGCATAATTCCCTAGTGGCAAGTAAAACTTTATTGCGTTCGCAGTTTTCAGTAAGTACAGCGTTAAGTCGGAAGCTCAGTGCACATCGGATGCACATCGGATCAGCGCTCGTTGACTATGTGCTCGGATCTAAAATCTCACTCCATAGCACATCATTCCACACCAGCACATCATTCCACACCAGCACATCATTCCACACCAGCACGGGGCAGTAGCTCTTTTGGCTAAGAGTGATGGCTTGTGGCCTACGGTGACTAATGTGTGCATTCGATCAATTGAAATCCATTCTGTAGGTCTCACGTCTGGCTCTGATGTGCTAGCCCATAAGCGCAAGGAGTGAGTGTGTTTAGCTTTCTATTCACCCGATTTGAAAGTGAACGAAGACATAATGAGACCATACTAGACGACCAAACGGTACGTACTAATGCACTACACCATCACACCTGTAGACATCAACAGTCTTCAAAATCAGTATATCAAATATTTGTTCTTTGTTACATATGTGGATCAGATGGATCAGATTTTGAGTCTTTTTTGTATTTTAATCTTATTATTTTAATAGGTTTTTCATTGCCTTTACCAATTTCTTCAAATATCTGGTAAATTATTTTTTTATCGTTGTTATTTTTTTCAAGTTCATTTAAATTATTTTTTTCTGGAATTCCTAAAACGATAATGTTCTTTTCACACTTTTTTTTCTTCCTGTTCGGATAATATAATTTTAGTAATTGAGTTTACAACAATAGCTTTTTCTGCAGATTTATTTTTGTTATAAAAATTTGACCAAAACGTAACTGAACTATTTTCGGTTTCTTTTTTTGATTCTATTAATTCAATTCTTTTTATAAGTCTTTGAATAGTTTTATTTTGATCACTTATAATATCGGATAGTTCTGAATAGCTAAGTTTACCTTGCTTAATCATGAATATTTTGAAGACGTGTCGATTTTATGAAATTAATAATAAATAAATAATAATCATACTGTAAAATATCAAAATAATAACAGGAACGATAATAGCAAAAGTAGTAAAATAAAATTTACACTTTTATACAAAAAAAAAAGACAAAAAAAAAAAATTATTATAGTATAATATATAAATTTTATAAAGAAACAAAATAATTTAATTAGAAATTAAATTAAAAAAAAAAAAAACGATATCGAAAAATAGAGAAGTTAAAAAAAATAGCAAACAAAACGGGGAAAAAAAATTTAAGAATAAAAATACTAATTGATGACTAATTTAGAATAAAATTTTAAATTTAGATAAAATAAAGAAGTTAAATAAGAGAAAATAGTAATATTATGTTCTTACGTTTTCAGAAAAAAAATACATGGCTTATCACATTAAATGCGTACACGAAGTTGAGGCATCCCTAAAAATATTTTTTGTTCAAAAAACTTAATTCCAGTGTTGTTTTATCATACGAAAATCATTAAGGTGCGAGCTGCAGATATTTATCAAGTCAAGCAGTAATTTACAAGTCAACATAGATTAAACAATCTTTCAACTGTTCTAGAGTTTTCTAGAAAATTAAAAATTGGGTTTACTATATTAGAGGTTCTGAGTTCGATCCCCACCACGTCCCTGGTAGTACAGCGCTCAACTTGTTTCTTCGTGCAGCAGCCTTGTTTGTTAAGATTCGTGTTTTGGAGTTATAGAGTTGAGAGAGGGTTATAACCATATTAATTATCCTCCTTGTCTGTAGTGGCCTTCTTGGCCTTAGAGAGGGGAATTTAAAAAAAAATAAATTCTGTATTTTATTTTTTTCTCAGTTTCTTTACTTCTTCCCTTGGGATTGACAGCTACTTTATGCAAGTATTTGCATTTTTTATAATTAATAGTTTTTAATTACTTTCAATTTCAAAGTTAAATGTTATGTTTATGATTCAACAAATAAAAATAAACTGTTATATATTATTTATAAATTTCAAAATATAAATTTTTGAAGTTTATTCAAGTAATGTGTTGTCAAACTTTTAAGTGTTTCAAATTTAGATATGTAATTTCTTAAAGTTTCACTTAATTTATTTTTAGGAGTTTCAATTGCAGATGGAGAGTGTAAAGCAGCGTAGAGAGCAACTAGATCGAAAAAAACATGAACTCAAAGAATCTCTTCTAAAATTTGACAAGTTTCTTAAGGCAATTAAAATCTGCTTAGTGTTAAATTGATTAAGGATGTTTAAAATTTTTTAATTAAAAAAATATTGATATTAATAAAATGCTTCAAAAAAGGAAAACGATTCAAAGCGTGCACGAGCAATAAAGAAAATGACTGATGAAAGAGAAGCAAAACGAGGAAAAGAAAGAGAAATTGAAAAGTATACTGATTATATAAATTTAATTAATATTTATTATTATCAGTTTAAATTTCTTTTTTATATATATCTATGGCTTATAATAAATATATATATATAAACTGAATTATACTTGAAGTTTATAAATTGGTCTTTTTTTAATTTTTCAATGCTTAAAGAAAAAATAGTACTAGTTAGTCATAGCTTTTTTTAATTTATGCTTTAGTACATGTTTTATATAAAACTGTGAATAAACAATAAGTGTAAATAAACACAAAGATAGCAATAGAATGGAGTCTTTATTATCCTTTTGACTACTTTCTATGCCAAATTTATAATCTTTGAATATCATATACTCATTAGGCAGCATCATAAAACATCTTTTTCTATTTTTATAAAAAAATGAAAAAATTTATTGGTTTACAACAAGACCCTAAATGCAGAATAATATATATTTTAATAGTGTATGTATGTTTATATTTTTGAAATTTTCATATAACTTCACTTCTTTTAAGATCCTACATGTTTTTGTAATATATATATTTTTCTTTTTTATTTCATTAAGGGTCTTGTTAACTTAAGGTGATCCCTCTAAATCTGTTTAAATTGAACAAAAGTTTAACAGATTTACTAGTAAAAGCCAATGAATTTTTTTTAATAATAAGATTTTTAAATATAAGCTACAAGTTATGTAATGCAGTTTAAATATATTACAAGAAAAAATAAAGTGATTGAAATGAGCAACAGATCCAAAGGTTTTTATGAGCTGCTGAATGATGGAATGCTGGTTTCTTACAGAAAGTTGGTTTGTGTGCAATGAAATCATCCTATTAGTTGTTTCATTTCAATACAAAATCTTTGTGGGTTTTGTATTGAAAGATCAGATCACTTTTTGAATTTATGTTCCTAAAGACAATTTTCTAAAATTTGTCTGATTTCGTATCTGTAATTTCTTAACTTATTTTATTGCTCTTTTTTGTATACTTTCTCTTTTAATTTTTCTTTTTAAATACAAACATCATACATTGCTCCTATTTTTACATTTCCTTTCAATATTTTAATAATAGCTTTTTGTTATTTGTTATAAATATAGATGTTCTGTTTCAATAAAAATTGCAGTTAAAATCTTTGTGTCATCTGCAAACAGTTTACATTGAAATGTAATAATCTTTGCCTAATTAAAAATTAATTGACAATGTAATACTGAAATAGACATCTGTTTGGATTTCAAATTATATAAAAGATTTGCTTTGGGCAAATGCAGTTTATATATGAAATACATTTATTAGAGGGAAAGAAATTGTTTTTTATAATAGTCTGGGATTAAAGTTGAGATTTATACAGTTGCATGGATAAGTTATGAAACACCAGTTTTTACTGCATAACTTTTCACAAACTTTCCCAAATGAGCTGAAATTTCTATCAAAATGTGCTCTATATTATTTCAATTTAAAATACAAAACACAAAAGTTGTAAAATTTAACAGTTAATTAAAATTTAATTGTTTTTTCGAAAAAAATTCTGTGCGAAAGTTCAGAAACAACTGAATTTGATAAATATTTATTTGAAAAAAAGCTGAAAATTTTACCAAAATTCACAAAATAACAATTTTCCAATAAAATAGTTTCAATAAGACACTTAGTATTTGGTGGCATATCCATTTGCATTTAAAACACCATCACAGCGACAAGGCATTGAATCTACTAAATGAATGAGAACATACTGAGGAATATTATACCTATATTCTTTAAACAATGTTGATAAATGGTCTTTGTTGGTTGTTTTTCTACCAACTAATTACCGGTCCATGTACTCCCAAAGATGCTCAATTAAAATCACAGAGCTCAGATCTCAACGGATTGAGATCTGTGAAGGCTATTCAAGAACTTTGATTTTTCGTGATTTAAAATATTCCTTAACAGATCTGGCACAATGCTTTGGATCATTATCTTGTTAAAAGATCCATTTGTGATTCATTTTATACTTTGCATGTGACAGCATAACATTCTTTATGATGTCTAAATAAACTCTCTGGTCATTAATACCTTCTATGTGATGAGTGGGACCCACATTGTCACAACTAAAACATTCCCAAACCATAATTTTTTCCTCCATGTTTAACAAGGGTAACTGATATTTTGGATCAATTCTGTCTCCTATTGGGTGCCTGACATACTTATTTCTGTCAATACTGAATAGCATAAATTTGATTCATCAGAAAAAAGGACTTAACTGACTAACAGAAAAAAGGCATTAACTGACTAACTAATATGATCTTTTGCAAATTTTATTCTGGTTTTTAAATTTTTTGTAGATATCAGTGGTTTCTTAACTGCACAACAGCCTAACAGGTTTTGTCATAATCGACATTTAGTTGTATTGATGCCACAGATTGTGCCATGTAATTGATGCATAAATAAAGGTTCGACAGCAATCTTGTGAGGATTATTCTTGGAATACATTACTAATAATCTATCAGTCTTTTCAGTTGTAACTTTGGGTCTTCCAGAGCAAGGTTTGCTTTCAATAGTTTTGCACTGACGAAATCTTTTCATAATGTGATTTATTCCTTGTTTAGAAACATTGTAAAGTTCAGAAATCTTTATTTTATTTATCATAAAATGTAAATATACAGCTCGAGCAAGAAAACAAATTAATTCTAACGCCAAGCCCTTTTAAAATATAAATAAAAAACATGTTACATCGTTAAATTACACTTTTTTATTACATCACAATGTAATATATGTAAAAAATACATATATAGATACAAATATACAATTTTTTTTATTGTTATTATTATTTTTAACTTTTATTCATTAAGATTTTAAATTTTAAATAAATAAAAGAAGATACAACAAAAAAAGGAGGTTTGGAGCTAGTATTATGAACAATATTTATATATTATAATTTATATTTCTCATAAAAATAATATTTTTAGAAACTATTATAAAAAATTGAATATAATATATAAGAAATATATTTATTAGAAATAAATAAATATAAGAATAAATTTTCAAAAATATAAGAAATAAATTTTTTAGAAACTCATTTATACAAAACACAAAATTATAGTATAAAAATTGAATATAATATACAAGAAATATATAGGTACTCACTTATTTACACATTTCTTAACACAAATTTTATAAAACATATTATTGTTACAATTGTTTATATTTTTTGTTTTTATTTCAGATTTATAAAGGTTCAGATCAAGATCAAAAATAAATATGATCAAAAATGTAGTTTACAAAACAAATAAAAAATGTAGTTTACAAAACAAATAAAAAATGTAGTTTACAAAACAAATAAAAAATGTAGTTTACAAAACAAATAAAAAATGTACTTTACAAAACAAATAAAAAGTGATTACTGTTATTTAAAAGTTTCAGAAGAAGTCTAATTCATTCCCAGTTATCAAAAGTTTTTTTTTAAGTCCATTTTTAAATTGATCAAAAGAAAGAAAATAATTTTTAACTCATTGTTTATTAGTGTGTTCCATAATTAATGTCTTCTGATTGTGATCAAAATAGTAGCAGAATCTGTTTTTGGTTGAATATAATTGTTATTCGAAAATCGTGTTGGTATAAATGATTTACTTTTTAAAAAAATGAGTTAAGATGGGTGACATTTTATAATAAACTTTGAACATAAATATAAGAATTTGATTTAAGTTAAAGTGCGTTGAGTATTTTGAGTTTGCTAAAAAGAAATTAAATGTATGAGAAGTGATCCACATTTCCAAAAATTCTTACAGTATGTTTTTATTTAACAGCTTATTATTTTTAAAAACATTAATTGGCTGCACCAAGAAACATTAGCATAATTTAGATAGCAATGAATAAAAGTAAAGTAAATTAATTTTAAACAAGCTTGTTTTAACAATTGTTTGGCAAATTTTTGTTTAAAAAAACATAAATTTGGGGGTACTGATACTGTTTCTAAACTTTTGCATGAAAGCTTTTTCAAAAAAAAACAATTAAATTTTAATTAACCGTTAAGTTTTACAACTTTTGTGGTTTATATTTTATATGAGCACATTTGGTCAAAATTTTATTTGAGAAAGTTTGTGAATGCAGTTAAAACTGAAAAAAAGTTGGTGTTTCTTTTGCACGCTACTGTATATAAGAATGTTAAAATATATTCTAAGACACTGTAATACACTTAAATATGTTTAAAAAGTGAGTAATTGCTCCATCATAATTATCTTGAATTGATTTAAGAAAGAAAGTGATCTTCTGTTGTCTTTTGTTTTAAAACAAATTGTCTAGCTTTTTTAGTTACTGAACAAATTCGAACTAATATACTATATAAATAAAATGAGTTCATATATAATTTATTTTTTGTTAATGATTTAATTTAGACACTTATTCAGAAAATAGTGACAAAGAAAATAGTGACAAAAAAACAAAAAAAAACTTTTTTGCTGAAATATATCTTTTTTAAACATTTTTCTGTCCAAATCAGAAGTCTACATGAACTATGGCTGTTTTAGCAGCTCAAAACATGTGCAGTATAAGATGTAATCCTTGTTTATCATTTAGTGATTATGTATTTTTTACAAATTAAAGCAGTTTTATGTCATTATAATATATATAAAATATACATAAATTTTTTTTATTATTTATTCAATGATTTTATATATATATATATATATATATATTACAGGCTTGAAGAGGAGATGCGACAGCTGATAAAAACTAGGGATAAAATACAAAAAAAGGCAGAAAAATACTCTGTTTGTCAACGGTATCTTGATAAAATTATAGAGATTTCTGATGAAGTAAGTTTAAATTGTATATATTATGTGAGAGATTTCTGATGAAGTAAGTTTAAACATATATATATATATATATATATATATGTGTGTGTGTGTGTGTGTGTGTGTGTGTGTGTGTGTGTGTGTGTGTGTGTGTGTGTGTGTGTGTGTGTGTGTGTGTGTGTGTGTGTGTATATATATATATATGTATATATATATATATATGTATATATGTATATATATATATATATATATATATATATATGTGTGTGTGTGTGTGTGTATATATATATATATATGTATATATATATATGTATATATGTATATATATATATATATATATATATATATATATATATATATATATATTATATATATATATATATATATATATATATATATACTATGTAAAATTAAATATTAAATTAAGTGTACTTATAACTGTATTTAAATGCATTGTAAGATAAACCATAATCAAACCTGAAGACAAAATTATTAGATTGTTTAAAAATATTTTAGATAATTTTTTTATTAAATTTTATATAAAAAGTTTATGAAAAGATGATTTTTTTAATTTTGAAATTGCTTTTTAACAAAAGTTTTTTCTTTATCATTAATTTTTTGAATTGATCATAGAATGAAAATTGATTAGAAATGATTAACTAGTTTATGAGTAGCAAAGATTTTGTTAAAGCCGAAAAAAGGTTTAAAAAAAATGTCAATAGTTTTTATTTATTTTTTGATCAAGAAGAAATTCAACCATAAAAAATTGCTCCCTCATTTAAAAAAAAATTAACATAACGCAAATGTTTTAAGGAAAAAATAGTATAAGTTTAAGTAAGATTGAATTTTTTAAAATGAGGAGAATTTTTTTTTAATTTATCAAACATAATTAATCGTCAGCTATTAAATACGTAAAAAACTACTAGAAAAACAATTTTAATAAAACTTGTTTACAAAATAATTAAAAAGTACGGTAAAATGAATTCTGACGTAATAAAAGACATAACCATTTAGTCCTTTTCCTTTAAACTCTAAATCTTCTCCGAATGCTTGGTATCATTTCTGTTTTTCGCCACATAAAAAGATTTCTAATCAGTTGTTCAGCTTGAATGGTGTCTCACTGATATGGAAATATACTTTTTCTTTAGGATTAGAATTTACATCAATCACATTTTGATAAACAATATTAGTTAATATTAGTTAAACTTTATAAACAATATTACTTATAAACATTGATTGTTCAATGAGTCTTTGTAATGTAGTAACAAGTTTTTGTATTCAAATTTGTATTGTATGATTGAATTTCGGTTGATTATTTTTTGAAATTTGTGGTTTACTGGGAATCGGAGGTCAATTAATGCTAATAAATGATGCCTAATTTTGTTTTCACATTCTGACTAAATGGAGGATATATATATATATATATATATATATATATATATATATATATATATATATATATATATATATATATATACATATATTTTTTATATATATTTATATATATTCTCATATATACAGGGGCAAATGTAGCTTTTTTTGATGTTTGAGATTATATGAGTATAAACATTTGTATGTTTATAATGATATCAAATAAGGATGCTTTGTAAAAAGTTGCAATGATTTTAGCCTGGAAACAAAAAACTCTACAATTTTGGTGACACCTGGCCCAAAAATGAGAGCAACAAGATGATAAAGTATTTTTTACACTATTTTTAACTAAATTTATATTCATCAATAAATTTTAAAATTAATATAAATATCTCTTGACATTCAAAAATTATGGCCTTATTAAATTTGTAACCCCCTCAAATTGAGGGGCGTTAAACTTTATATAATCATAATTTTTGATTGTTAAGTGATTATTGTATATATTTTAAATATAAATTTATTTGAATAGTTAAAAAATTACTTTACCAACTTGTTGCTCTCCTATACTAAGAGATTTCATAAGTTGACAATTGAAACTTGCAAACATTTTCTTTATTTGTCCAAGCATTTTCCAATTGCCATAGTTACTTTATCTTTCCATTTAAGATTTGTAGAAAATATAACTCCAAGATCTTGTTCAGACTTGAATCATGAAGATCTATACCAATTATGAAAAGTGGATAACTTTATTAGCTGAGCCATAATGCATCACAACACACTTTTTATGCAAATGCTTTATTTAAGTCATTCTGGATTTTTGTGACACCCAAATCTGATTTTACCATTGATTAAAGTTTGGTATCATCAGCATATAACTTTGTAACATTTTTTATTGTCTGGAAAATAATTAGTATAGGCAACAATAAGGAATGGCCCAATAACTTAACCCTGTGGTACACCAATAAAAAATATTAACCCAATTATAGACAATGTCACCCTTAACTACTCTTTGTCTCCTATTTGTGAGAAAATATGCAATTCACTTCAGTACTAATCCATCAAACCATAATCTCTTAGTTTTAATATATAATATATATTTTTTTTTTTTTTTTTTTTTTTTTCTCATTTTCAAAATAAGAAAAAATTTTGTTAAGTGATTTTCTACTAATTTATATATATATATATATATATATATATATATATATATATATATATATATATATATATATATATATATATATATATATATATATGTATATATATATACATATATACATATATATATATATATATATATATATATATATATATATATATATATATATATATATATATATATATATAGGCTTCGGCAGGAATAAAAACCGTACGGGCTATGAAAAGCCCGTCTTAAACAGACTTGGCGGGCTATGAGGGCCGCCCGTCTAGATGGTCTTGCACAGGCTTTTTTAAACTTTAAAAAAAATTCTAAAGTTTGAACTTTTTTTTTTTCAAATTTGTTAATTTCTCTTCTTTTTTTTGAATGAAAATGTCATTGAATATTAAACATTTTGTGAATTGCACTAAAATAATATGTTAGAAAGCGATTAACTGTTTAAAATGCTTAATTACTTAAGTAATTAAAACACTGCAGTAAATGAGTTGGATAATACTTAAAACTAAGATTTCAATAATTGTTTTTCAAAGTTTTCACTTACACAGATCTAATTTCGTTTCACGTGGGTTAGTTGTTTTATGGTTGCTTTTGTTTAGATTTCTTACTAGAAGAAACTTTATTCAGTTTTTTATGTTTTTTTTTTTTTAATCTTTATTCCAGATAATATCTGGCAGATATAGTCAAACGAATGAACGTGAAAAAGACGGGAAAAATCCTCGAAACAACCATGGCGTTTCATCACGTTTCCTTATTCAAGCATCCTAACGTGTTTTTTTACCGAAGTCTTTTTGAGTATATTTATATATTATTGTTTTATTCAAGTATTCGATTAAATTATACAGGTTTTTATTGTGCTTTTTTAGTTCATTCGTTTCTCTTATTCTTTGTGAATAAAAATATTACATAATTTTTTCAAAATCAAATTTTTTAATTATTCAGCAAATAGTTTGAAATCTTTTTTTTTTTTAACCTTGAATCAATGAGCTCGATAGTTTTAGAATTGTTTGGTATTAGCTTGGTAATATGATACGTAACTATGTTATTTTTCAAATTCAATTATTTATATACTCTTGCATTCTATTGGGCGTGCAAATTAAAAACTTAAACTGTTATTTATATTTTTATAACTTTGCTTTACCTATGCCTATCCTGATTGGAAATTGTTATTCTGATACGTGAATAAAAAATTTGAAATCTAATTTCTTTTAATAAAATAAGTTTTTATTTAGAAGTACTAATAAATTCTTAAGATACCGGGGCTTCCGTTACTTTATATACAATATAAGCATGTATATAAGGGTATGTATGTTGCTAGCTTTAACGTTTGTAGTGCCATCTATAAATGCTAATGCTTTTGATTTTGCGAGACCTTTTAACTCGCGAATCAATTCTTTTTTATATTTTATACAAACCATACACCATATCTTCACAACAAAAATAGTTCCATTCTCCACCTCAGTTTCTTTTCCACAGACTCCATCTTTACCCCAACTCAAAAATGTTGCTAATGTAACTCTTCTACCAGATGATGCCATTACTATCTTTACTGAAAAACTTGAATAACTTGAAAAACTTGAATGACTGGATAGCTTGAATAACTTCATAACTATAAAGCAACACTATTTATATTATCTACAAAAATTGATTAGACGTTTGTTGATTTTTAATGAGGTATTTCATTTTCAATAACGAGTTATATAATTGCATATTAAATAAACTGCCGTCTCTTTAAGAAAAAACGTGAAGTTAACGCGGAAGTTAACGCGGAAATATCACTTTAAATGTCTTTAAAGTAAGACAAACTAGTTTATCGGAAAAAAGCGAAATACATGGATAATTAGTTTATTATTGTTATTATTATAAACATTGAAAAACCAAAACAACATGATACTTCTTGTGCATCACATGTGTATATTTCCCTATTTAATATAATAGTTATTAAATTTTGAACATGATATGGTATCTGTTTGGTATTATATCAAACAGTTATTGTCGTTTAAAAAACTGTAAGATTTAGTTATATTATTTTCTACATCATGTTATACAATAATGATTAAATTGTTTAATTTTTGTATTTAAATATAAACAATTATAAGTTGGAGTTTGCTATCCATATTAAAAATATGTCATGAGAGAAGTTTTAGAAGAGTATTTTAATAAAAAAACATCAAAATATTCATCTTTTTTTTTACACAAAACTTATGTTTCAGACGGGCTTTATTTCGCCCGTCTAAACTGACTTAGACGGGTGCGGAGACGGACACGGGCTATAGCCCGTCATTCCTGCCGAAGTCTGTATATATATATAAATTAGTAGAAAATCACTTGGCAAAATTTTTTCTCATTTTGAAAATGAGAAAAAAATTTGCTAAGTGATTTTCTACTAATTTGTAATTGCTCTGTTCTTTTAAGAACATTGAGCACTCTTTTTGTAGAATACATTTTAAATTGTTTAAATATATATATATATATATATATATATATATATATATATATATATATATATATATATATATATATATATATATATATATATATATATATATATATATATATATATATACTTATATAATAAATATATACTTATATAATAAATATATATTTATATAATAAATATATATTTATATAATAAATATATATTTATATAATAAATATATATATATAAAATATATATATCTATAATATATATTATATAAATTTATACCCTAAAATACCCTGCTGCCGGGGGCTTCAGTATATATATCGAATGGCAAATAGCCTGACTTGTAGCCTTGTGCTGCTACATCGACTTAGGGTTTGGGGAATAATCTTTTCTTCATTATTCTTTGTTTTTTTCTTATTTTTCTAAAAATACCATATGCTATAAAGATAAGCAAAAATAGTGAGCAAATACTCATCTTAACCACCTATAGAAAGTATATATATACATATATATATATATATATATATATATATATATATATATATATATATATATATATATATATATATATATATATATATATATATATATATATATATATATATATATATATATATATACACATGTTTGTATGTGTATATATATATATATATATATATATATATATATACATACACACATCATCACATGTGTATGTATATATATGTATATATACATACACACGTGTGATGTTTATGTTGTGTTATTTTTAAAATGAATTTTGTAATTGGTTTTAATTATAGTTTCAAGAACTTCGAGAAATCACTGCTCGTTATGACACCCTTATCAACACTCACAATGTATTTTTATTTTAGTTTTAATAAAATATTTTTTTTTTATAACTTTTTTAGTTTAATAAACTTTTAGGAACTTTTTTTGTTAAAGTTTTTTAACTGTAAATTTTGATGGAAAAAAAAAATCATTTGGTATGAGGGACAGATAAACCAAAATAAATATATAAATAAAAAATTAAATTTACATTAAAAATAACTAGATGTAAAAGATAGATAAAATACTTGCTACTTTCTTTGGAAGTATATTGATAGCATTAAATTTTAAATATTGTGTCATATTGTGTGCTAGTATTATATTTGCATTGTTTTTTTACCAGATTTTTTTATTACTCTTAACATTTATTTTGAGCTGTTAAGTTAAATTTTTAATTCTTAGGAATTGCTAGCAAGAGAAAACAAGCATCAAGATGATATTGAAAACGAAAAATCTAAACTCAGTAAATTTGTTGAGGTTTATTTTTTTACATTTTTTTGTTTTTTATTTATTTAATCTTGATGTGATTAAGTATACTAGATGTGATGAAATATAATAGATATATTTACCAGAAATAAAAGTTTATATTTTTATGTTTAAAAAATTGATTTTTAAATTTTAAAAGTTCTTAATAATGTAATAGTGCATTAATAATAATGCAATAGTATTAATAAAAATAGTTGAAAATTTTAATTAAAATTTTGTTTTAAGTTTTAAATCAAAAGTTTTGGTGTGGCTTAGTGGTTAGTTGGTGTGGTTTAGTGGTTAGTGTGATTTAGTGGTTAGTTGGTGTGGTTTAATGGTTAGTTGGTGTGGTTTAGTGGTTAGTTGGTGTAATTTAGTGGTTAGTTGGTGTAGTTTAGTGGTTAGTTGGTGTGGCTCAGTGGTTAGTCAGTGTGGTTTAGTAGTTAATAAAAATCTTTTTAAATTACATGAGTTAATTACATGTATCACAGTTTAGTTTTCAAAAACATTTTCAGTCCTTAAGGGCATTTATTTTTATAATAGATAAATTATTTATAATTATATTGAACATTATATTGAATTTGGCAGACAAACAAGAAAATTTTTAAATGTAAAAAGATTTTAAAAGTTGTAATAAATGACTAAATTGCATATGTTGCTTCAAGCTGTTTAAATCAGGAAATTATGAAAAAGAAAGAGAATTTCAAAGAATCAATATTGGTAGTTGGAACAAAGATGATAGGTGAAGTCATGGTAGTTTTTTTAAAGAAAAGTTTAATGTCCATAGCTCCACACTTGTATGATCTATACAGGCTTTTATATTCTCATTTACTTATTTAAAGATGTCATTGTGGAGAAGGTGATGCTATTTTTTTCAATTGAATGCTTGTCCTGGAATTAATCTGTTTTTCAGATCAAAATTAAGTATTTTCTAGTGATTGCTAGGAAGATTACCATACCCATAGGATCCATTTAAAGTTTACAAGATTCAACTGATACTCGCAATTAAAATTAGGGTTTTATATCAATTTTTTTTCCTAAAAAGGATGCCTTTATGGCTAAAGAGATTTATCTGTATCAATATAGCATCAATTTAATGTTGTGGAGATAAAGTCTTAATGCAATCCATTATTTAAACAAAAGAAATTTTGGAGATAATGTTTCTACCTAATGATGATAAGTTAATGGTTTAAGTTTGAATGATAAAGCTAAATATGTTTTAAATGCTTTTTATTTTATTAATGTAAAGAATAAAAATAGGCACTAAAAATAGAAATTGAAGAGAGAACAGAACTAGTAGTAGAAAAAGTAATTTTAGATAATAGCTTTCAGCATTTATTTTATGCTAATTTTGAAATGGATTTGTTTTATGGTTTCCAGTAAAGTTCAGTTGTTAAAAATTCTGAGAAGATGCAAAGAACTAGATTTATTAAGTGTATTTGTAGATTGGAATACTAGTATTACTAATTTTTAGCTCCAGACACATTACAGTAAAGAAATAATATTAAAGATCAGTGGAGAGATTGAATTCTTAATAATCAAAAAGACATTAAAATTTGAACAATATTCAGTACCAATTATTTCTCTCTAAAAGCAATATTAATGCTATCCTTGATACACAATATTCTCTTTTATTTAAAGTAAACTCAGGGTTACCACAAGGTTTCACTTTCTTCCAATCTTTTTTTGCTGACAATCCAACTACATATTCTAGATATGTGAATAATAAAAAGACTGTGGAGGAGAGTACTGTTCACCAACTGTAGATAAGATAATCTTCACTAAGAAGCTGTAGGGAAAATTACTGTTTATTAAGAGACTGTAGAAAAGATACTATTAGCCAATTTCAAACGACGCAGTTTAACTTAGCGAATATTGCCTGTAGGGACAAAATTCTAGCCAATCAGATATGGTTTCTAGATTATGCGTTTTTTCTCGATTAAACAACTAAAATAATAGTAGTGCTTAACATCATTGAGTCAAAAAATTTATAAAAATCAAAACAAAGGTTCATTTTATTTAAGTTACAAAAATAAGTTAGCGGTAATGTAACTATTATTTACTATAAACTTACAAAATATTAAATATTATAATAAGATATCAAATTAATTTATTGTATTGCTTAAATCAATGGTTCACTGGTTTTGTAGCGCATCATTATGTTTTAATAACTTTAGAAGCAAAACTACTAACGGAGAACGTATTAAGTTTTACAGGCTTCCTAAAGATGTTTCTTTACAGAAAGAATATATTCGAATTTTACATACAAAAGGAATGAATTTCAAAAATGGGCATATTTGTTGTGAACATTTTTCATCTGGAATTAGAGAGTTATGCACTGATATTCCAGGCATAGCTGCACCACCAAGCCAAATTGCTATAATGAAACGAAAATACACAAATGCTCTGACCAAAATGACTACATCACAAAAAGCGACTGAAGCTGAAAAAAAAAAATTTAAAAAGGTTGAAGCGTAAGCTTGATATGATGATATCTTTGTCTAAACCTTGTCTTGTTCGTAAAAAACCCACAAACCGATCTGTTTATGTTACAAAACCTCCTTTATCATTACGTAAACCAACTAAACAACAGTTGTTTTCTAAATTAAAAAAAGGAGCAGATGCTTATGAAATTCTTCAAGAAAAACTAAACGCAAACAACTATATAAAACAACTTAAAAGTGAAAAAAAAGTAAACAAAGTAAAGAACGATATATTACATAAAAAATATTTAAGTTTATATGTAAGAAATCAAATTTTAAACAAAAAACTGGACAAATTCGAAAAAGGAATGTTTATATATTCCAAACTTAAAGACAAACCAAAGCAATTTAAATATTTATGTGGTCTATCTATCAAGCAATTTGAACTCTTATATAATTGCGTAGACCCATACTGTCACTTAATTGAATATCCAGATTGTAAAGGTACAGGAATCAGATTCCTTGATAAGAAAACTGAGTTGTTTTCAGTTTTAACATTGTGCAGACATGCACTTTATCTTGGTGTTATTGGATTTATGGTGGGTGTGGCTGAAACCACCATGTATTGTATTTTCACTGGGTGGGTTGTATTTATAGACGCAATATTTTCAGAGGTAAATTTAAAGGTTGAAAGCACTTATATTTCCTTGATGATGCCTTCTGTTTTTAAAAAAACTGGGCATGGTGAAACCGATATTGTCGTGGATGCTACTGAATTTAAATTTCAACAACCAAGCAATTATGACCTAAACACTTTAATGTTTTCAAGTTATAAAAACTGTACAACAGGGAAAGCTTTAATTGGAATCTCTCCACATGGATCAGGTTTGCTTTTTGGAGACATATATCCTGGTTCTATCACAGATAATGAATTAATAGAACAATCTCATATTTTAGAACTAGTTGAGAAAGAACACGAAATTATGGCAGATAGAGGGTTTTCAATTCAAGATTTATGTGCTTCAAAAGGAATATATCTAAACCGTCCATCTGAGAAATCAAGCCATCAGTTCCCATAAGCTGACATAGCTGGTAATTTTGATATAGCTTCTACCCGTATTCATGTAGAGAGATTCATAGGACGCATACGTGATTGGTCAATTCTTAATGCTGTGTGGCCTTTACAAAGAATGGACTTACTTTCTTCAACATGGAAAATGTTATGTCATGTTGTAAACCTTACAATGCGCCCTATTGGGCCAAAGGAAGAATTTTGTAATAAATAATATTTTGTGAATATATATAAGCATATAATATTATCTTATTTATTTTTATCATAAAATATTTTTAAATATTTAAACCAATTTTAATGGAGGAATTGATGTTTCAACAAGTTCTTTAATATACGATTTCTGTATGACTTGTGTACACGTTAATTCTAAAATTGTTGTCTTTGTGTCCACATAATGCTTAAGGTAAAGAAGGATAGCTAAAACATGACAGCAAAGTCCACTAAGACCAACAAGACATTCGCAATAACCCTTTAGGGGTGTTCCTCCTACAAAAAGTAAAATAGTAGGATGTACATCGTAGCCATAAGATTTTCTTATAAAAGCTCTTACATATACCCTATTGGTATCTGAATGCGTTTTAACAGATATAATTTTTCTGCTTGTTAACATCTGGTATGCTTTTTGCTGTTGTCCAAATGTACCCTCTCTTTTATTGAGAATGTATTCTTTAAAAAGCTTAGAGTTTACATAAGGGTAGAGGTTTTCATTGTCAGTCCAATTTTGAGATATGTGTGGTATCTTGTCTACATGCAAACTTGTTGAGAACAAGAATTTTTTTTTTGCTTTTCAATAAAGTTTTTCAACTAATTTTGGATATGGCAAAAACTGCAAAATTCTTGCTTGCAATTCTTTAACAGAGCCTGTGACACCAAGTCCGTGGTTTACAAGCCATTCAACACAAATCTTTCTTGAAGCTGTTGAAATGTTTACAACATTAATACTTAGCTCCATTTACAAATATACTTTTAAAACAGTAGTAGTAAATTAATATTTAACTTTATATTACTTTTTAAACTTTATATCTCTTTACTTTAAATTTTATATCGCTTTACTTTAAACTTTATATCGCTCTACTTTAAACTAATATATATGTAAACAAACGCAATAATATTTTTTGTCCCTACAGCTCAATTATTCGTTCCCAGACCTTCCCGTATGAAAGTGGGCAATTCACTATGAGACTGTAGAGAAGAGCGCTATTTGTAATTTTAATGTTCTAAATTTAAGCAATGTTCTTAACATAGATTGATGGAGGTCTTAGTTAATGTCCTAACTTTTCTAAATGTTTTTTTAAATTACTCAATCTTAGTTTAATTTTAATGTTTTAAGTTTTTTTTAGTTTTTTTGTTACTTTTAGCTTAAATTTGAATCACATTACTTATTATTATAACAACCAGGGCTGTGGAGTTGCTTAGTTGCGACATTTTTAGCGGAGTTGGAGTCGATAAACAAAATCACGACTCCGACTCAATTAACCTTATGTTCATACTAAACCTCAAAGAACGTTTCATAAATTTGTAAAAAAAAAAAGTTTTAACTTACTGCTTTATATTTTTTAAAGAATTCAAAGAGTTTTTCAAAAATTTTGCTTTGGAGTTGTACTCAAAAAATTTCAACTACTGGAGTTAGAGTCATTACTTTTTTTTTATGACCCCACATCCCTAATAATAACATATATTATTATTTTAAAAATTATTATAAATAATATTATATTTTAGTTAATTATTATTATTACTAAAAATAGAATTAAAGTTTTTTTTTCTTTATTTTAGAAAAAAAATAATGAAATGCTTAGCTACAACAATCAGGTATTCAGGTTTCTATCTGTTAGATTGCTAAATAATGAAATAATGGTTCTGTTGCAATAACTGTTGCAGTTACAATAAATTTGTCCAATTACTGACCTATTGTTGACACTTGTTAACAATAATTTATAAAGTATTATTATTTCATAAGATTTTTTCAAATTTTTTGAAAATTTAAGAATTTGTATTATTTTACTTTAGTTAGCTCAGCTTCAAACAGAACTTGAAAAAGAACAAAGCAACGCTTTAAAATGGTAACTTTATTGTTTTTGTTTCTTTGTAACCATATATTTTGTGTGACCACATATTTTATTGTAACCATATATTTTGTGTGACCACATATTTTATTGTAACCACATATTTTGTGTGATCATACATTTTATTGTCACAAGTTAATATTAATGTATCAATGTGTTTTATTTGTTTCCTGGAATACACTAGGTATCCAGAAGTTATCAAACTAGCAAATTAAAATGAATGAATGACAAATTGAAATGAATGAATGACAATAAGTGCTAAAACACTATTATGTAAAACTGTATTGATAAAAATATCAACAATAAATTTATGTGCCATGGAAATAAATAAAAGAAGAAAATAGATGATCAATTAATTAAAACTGTTTATATTTTTAATATTTGTACTGAAACTGAATGTGGTTGAATACTTATTACAGTATTAATTTATTTATTTTTAATTTTAAGCTATTTATTAAGTTGAATTTGATTCAAGTTAACTTGTTTAATTTATAAAGTTTATAAAATCTGTTGTTGTACTGCTACATAAGCACATAAAGTTTTAAGTTGTTTAAGTATTGTTTCTTCAGCATATAATAACTAAATTGCAATATCGGCAGCAGTTTTTTTGATATCCACAGTCAACTTACATTTAATGGTGCAATCTAACTTTTTTATATGTTTTTTTTTGGTCTTCTACTACATGGGTGATCTTTTAACTATATCCAACAGTGTTTGACAATAATATTGTTCATGGTTGATTTACCTATTAATAATATTGTTCATGTTTGATTTACCTATCAATAATATTGTTCATGTTTAATTTACCTATCAATAATAGTTAAGCAATTTCTTGAGAAGACTTTCCTTTTTTAAAAAATTTTATGACTCTCTTACGAGTTTAGATTTGTTTTGAACACTCTTCTGCTTTAATATATATTATGGGGCTGAAAATTTTTGCTCGTGTAAATATAGCAATTATAATAATAAATGCTTTCACAACTGTGAATAAATTTCTTTTACTATATTATTTTGTTTCCTATATTTCATACATCCTCTAATGAATAAAAACCATTGGTTATTTTTTTAAATAAATTAGAAAATGTTATTTAGTTATAAATAACTAAATAAAATTTAGTTATTTATATTATTTAGATTATATATTATTTTATATATATATTATATATTATATATATATATATTATATATATATATATATATATATATATATATATATATATATATATACATATATATATATATATATATATATATATATATATATATATATATATATATATATATATATATATATATATATATATATATATATATATATATATATATATATATATATATGTATATATATATATATATATATATATATATATATATATATATATATATATATATATATATATATATATGTATGTATATATATATATTTATATATATATATATTTATATATATATATATATATATATATATTTATTTATATATTTATATATATTTATATATATGTGTATATTTCTTGCTTAGGGAATCAGAGTGGACCCACATACAAAATACAGCTGCTAAGAAAACCTTGTTGTTGGGGAAAATTAAAATGTAAGTGTTTTTTTCAGTAATTACACTAATAATATGAGAGGATTAATTATACATTCAAGGAGACCTGCAAGGCTTTCTTTGTGTATTTAAAGTATTTATTAAAAATTTGAATATTTTAATTTTAAATATTTTCAGTTATGTGTGTTTTTTCATTATTTACAAGTTAAGTTGTTGAATATTTTTGAAAAAGAAACTTAAGAAGAACTTATACTAAAAAAAACTTGAGGGTTTCAAAATTTATTTTTATTTCATATTAAATTTCATATCCAATCCAGTATCAAGCTACTTTACTCCAACAAGCAAAAGAGTTTATTATATATTATTAGACATTGCTATATATTATGTAGATATATAACATGTGGCTCATCATGCAACTTAGTTGAATGATGAGTCGCATGCAATTGATTTTAGGTTGATATAACAAGTGATGATAGCTTACTTTAGCAGTAACTGTTGTAGAATTCGTAGAGAAGAGAAAAAAATGCAACCTCTCAACAATGGGACAGATTCTCAAACTTAGCAGCTACATTCAACAACATTAGAGATGCATTTTTGGACCTTGTCTAAAAATAAAGGGTCTTATTAGTAGAACCAGCCAATATGACAAAAGTATTCTGTACAAGGATGTAAAGAGGTAGAAAAAGAAATCAGAAGTATAATACAACAGAAGTATAATACGACAAGGACAAAAAAAAAAGGATAATTTTAGTAAATACTAACTTTGCAATTGCTTGTATAAATAGTTTCCTTTATAGATTAGAAGTGAATGATAATCTCAGAATTATCATTCACTTCTGATCTATTAAGAAGAGACCTCTACAATATGTGGAGGTCTCTTACTGAGACCTCTCAATATTGTAGAGGTCTCAGTAAGAGTATTGTCATTCATCAAAATAGAAATGTTAACAATATTGCAATAAATTTTGGAAGTAAATAACTGGATTTTGTTTGGGTTAAAATTCACCAGGCACTTTCAATTTCAAGTTGTCACACAAAAGAGATAAGATTCGAAGTTGGTTGCCTAAAATCTAAGCAATCAAAAAGTGATGACTTTTTTGTCAAGACTTAAGCCAATTAATATAGATACAGAAACAACACAGGACCAAGGATGAATTGATGTGGTCCTCGAGAAGTTATTGAAAATAGAGTTTTTCATCAAGAATAAATTTAGTAGTAAAGAATAGTTTGATATTTTAAAAAATCTTTCCAGGCATATCATATAAACCATAAAATGTATTGAGAGCAATAGCCCTTATAATGCACAATAGAATATCTTTCATGTTGTATTTCACAATATCTTGCAGAATAGAATCTTTTTGTTATAACAGTTATCAAGTCAGCAGTAAAACAAGAAAATCAAAATTCATAATGAGAGTAAGTTGTTACACTCAGGATGAATTAATTACAATATAAAACTTTTAGTGATATCATAGCATGATCTGAGCCACCTAAAGAAGAACAAGAAGAAAATGAGCACAAAATGAGGTTAAAGATTAGACACAAATCAAAGAGTGGAGGTAAATGATTATAGAAAATGCATCGAAAAGTTTGATCCAGCAAGATCAGTGGTACTGGAGCCATTCAGTGTAATAAATGGCTTGGCTCCAGTAATGATTAAAGTGAAAACGATAATGCCTGAAGTATAAAGAAAAAGGGGCGGGTCAATTTTATCAGAAACAACATCGAAATGAGTGTAGATATGGGAAAAAAGAAATCAATAAAGAAAAAAAGTAAGGTAATTGACTGAAAAGAGCCAAGTAAAACCACATAAAAATAATTCAGACAATTTAAACCTAGACTGAAGATGAATTTATTCAAAATAGTCTTAGTAAAAGCAAGTAAGTTTAGTGAATTTTGTGTGATTCAAGGGATGAAAAGTTATTTCAAAGACCATGTTTATTTGTAGAAGATAGAATAAAGTAGTTTAATGGTTTAAACTTTTTGTTTTATTTTTGTTTTAAGTACTTGATTCATTTTTTTATAATTAGAAAACTTGACTCAATTATTGAACAAGCATGACATTGTAAGCTATGAGCTATGTGGTTGCATCATTCTTGGTAATTAACCCAAACTTCTAATAAAAGACTCATTGTCTCAACAATGCACACTAAAGGATTATCAGGTCACCTTCTATGCCCAGCATGCCACTGTTAAATTTATGAAACTCTACAACTGTTGAAGGATTTAACATCTCTGAGAGATAGAAATATGTATATTTATATTTTAAACATTTCTTTTTTCAAATAAGCAGAAATTATCTTTTGATATTTTTGAACATAAATTTACAACGTTTTTCAGCTTTAATCAATCAAAACAACTTTTTTCAGACTTTAATCTTTAATTAAAAGATCATTTTTCATTTTCAATAATTTTTGACAGATAATGAACCATCTTAAAAAATTGTCTTCTTGATCTAAAAAATTAGTCTGGTAAAAAATATTAGTTTACTTTGAACTTGGAGTTTTAACTTATGTACACACCTGTATATTTGTTTTAATATCAATACTTTTTTGATAACTTATAAGTTGGAATAAGTTTAAATTTATTTTTTGGAAAACCTGGTAAGCACTAAACGTTGTCTTCAATACAGGATTAAACTCAAACTTGAATTTATTTCTGATGGTGAAAAAGGATAAGAAATTTATAAAACTGAGGATTTGGGTCGAATTTGTACCTAAAGTTGATGATGAGAATGGTAAAAGTAGTTGAATTATGAAGTAAAAAACAAAAAACAGTCACCACTGTTTTTTTTTTTTTTTTTTTTTTTTTTTTATTAATGTTGAAGTAACGTTAATTTTTTTGTTGATTTTGTATTGATGTTAGTTTTTCTTTGAAAGATAAAAGACAATATATGCACTTTACAATAATTTGATTTCTTGTTGATGTGTTTATACGCTTCCGAATTTTAGATGACTTTTTCTTTGAAACCATCACCCTTTTTTTTTTAGTAGAAGGCAAAACAATAAATTTTTATTTTTGAAAAATAAAAGCTGAGACATTAAATTCGCGACAGATTTGTCACCAAGCCATTGTCAGTAATCAAGGCAAAAAAAGCTCAAAATATAAACAAAAAAATAAAAATGTAAACATTCAAGGAACGGCAAAAATATTTTTAAGGAAACAGTTAGTAAAAAATCTAAAAATCATTCTAATTGAAGACCTTGAAAAGAAGAAGCAATAAGATCTTTTCATTTCATGCTTGCAAGAATAACGATGAAAGTCTTATAAAACGAATTTTGAGATGAAACACGATAAATACATTTTGTATATTTACTATACATAAATAAACTGATTTGAAAATGAAAGTTTAAAGTTTCATAAAACTCTTATCAACAAATATTTCTTCACACTGAAAAAATATTTGTTAATAAAAGTGTTATGAGATGTTTTAAAATATTTGTTAATAAAAGTGTTATGTTGTGATTATTTTTAAGTAGTGATTGGTTAACAGATTATACTTAAGTATGACATGTAGTATGCACTAATGACTACATAAAGTACGACATGTGAGTCATTAGAAGTGTCACACTAGACTACATAAAGTACGACATCATGTGAGTCATTAGAAGTGTCACACTAGACTACATAAAGTACGACATTATGTGAGTCATTAGAAGTATCACACTCGAACCGGAATTGCAAACCTACAACATGCATGTCACAAAGCAAGTCACAAAAAGTTTCACATGACACAATTTTTACAATTTACATGAGAAAAAAAACTTCAAAGAATATGAATTGCAAAATAAAATTTTTTTTTATTAACGTAACTAAACATTGGCAACATGCGAACTTATTTTATAAAATTTATTTAAAAAAATAGAAAAACCTACGGCGAAAGGTCATCCATCCCTATTCATCCCTATCCATGAAAACTAAAATGAACTATAACAGACTACATCGAAACTGCTGTTAACTTTTAACAATTTATTCATCTTGATTTACAATTTTACTTATATTATTTTTTTTTTATAAACACTATAATCCTTAAGATCAGTGCAGGCGTTACTTTTCTTATCGCTCTTGTCGGCATCAAGAAAACAAGCGTTACTTTTCTTGTCGCTCTTATGCAAAACTTTTCCACTTGACAACAATTTTATAAACTTGCTGGTAATGTACAAAAAAAATGTGATTTTTATATGCTTACAAAATTGAAGTTTTTTTTATTTAAAAGTGCGATCAGATATTCCTAATTATAAGAATCCCAAGGACAATATTATAGTTGGACTCAAAACTTATAATTTCATCAATAGGGCTACTCACAATTTGTTCCAGTTAATCAATAAAAATGCAAAAGAAGCGGAAACAGTCGAAAGCACAGTTGAACAGCTCAATAAGGTTTGTAACGGTTTTATATTCAATAAATGGTTTTCATGTGTCTGCAGGAAATATACTTGTTTATTTTTTTATACTGTTATATATATATATATATATATATATATATATATATATATATATATATATATATATATATATATATATACATATATATATATATATATATATATATATATATATATATATATATATATATATATATATATTATATATATATATATATATATATATATTATACACTTCATTATTACTTGAGTATCTTTTAGTTTTTTATTTTTAGATTCAAACTTTTATTCAAGATCTTTCGCAAATAACAAACGAGATAAAAAGATCGGAAAATCTAAACATAATATAATATATAAATTTTGCTGTGTACTGTTCTATATAAGTTGTTGCTGTGTACTGTGTTGTATAAATTGTTGTTTTCTACTGTTGTTGTGTACTGTTCCATATAAGTTATTTCTTTGGGGTTTTTTTTTGTACTTTCGTTGTATACTGCTGCTGTATATTGGTTAACATATTTGGAAATATAAAGCCTGTTTCTCATTTTAGTTTATAAAAATCCGTCTTTTACCAATATAGTTGTATCCTTCGAACATAAGAGACAATTAAATTATTTATTTCACAGTTTTATTTTGTAAAAATTGTAGTATTTTTGTATTATATTTCGATAACGATTGTTTAATTGAAATAATTTATTTGTTAAATTATTATTAGTTTAACAAACAAAATTTGTAATATTTTAAGTTTTAATTTCCAATTTAAATATTTTAAGTTTATGAAAGAAGTTTTAATGTTTTTTGTTTTGTTATGGCAATTATCTGATCATAATAATATTTATAATAATTAAAATAATTTTATAATAATTAAAATAATTATAAATTATGATCAATCATTACATGATTGTCATAAAGTAACTCAGACATCATAATGTAACTTCACAGTAAATATTTGGGAGATTAGAAGACCTGAAATTTTTTTTTAGATAATTTTACACTCATTTATAATATAAGTAAATTTCTTCTTTATAAGGCGGTGCATAACAAAAATTAAGCGTTTTAAGATAAATCAGAATAAATTTTGTTCCAATTTCTTTCGATCCACGCTCTGTTTTTAAAGGTTAAATATTAGGTCCAGTGCGTTTCTTTCTTTATAACGCTCTCTTTTTAAGGCGTTTTAAGAACTAAGCATTTTTAGGAAACTTTACGTTTTCATATCTATCTAATATAAAAGCTCAACTCATTAAATAAAATTTGAAATATGTTGATTAATATGTTTGGTTCAGACTGGTTCAAACTCAGTAAATTTTAGTTCATTAAAGGTTGATGGTTTTTCAGTTTTTTTTAAAAATTTCTAGAAACAAATATTTTAGCATCAAAAGAAACAACATAAATAATTTTTGTACGTTTTAGAATTACCTTAAATCGTCTTAAACACCAATAAAAACTGTTTCGATTTCAGGTTACATATCTTGAAACATTCTTATAATAATAGTAAAGCTATCTTGAAACATTCAAACCATTAGGATATAAGCAGTTAGCTACTAGAACAACCTCATGTATGACAGAAAAAACACTAAAACTTATTTCCCATTACACCCAAAACGTAAAAACAAAACAAAAAAATTCTATTAGACCATAAATCTTTACTCATTTATAGTAGGGAGGAGCTCAAACAAAACTAGAAACCTTAACTGGTTTTAGTTTTGTTTGAGAAAATAATAATAAAAAACAAATAAGAGGAACGTAAAAAAATATATACATTAAAAAAAAACTGAAAAGTTGTAAAGAGAACAAGATAAATGTTTTGGATCAATAATAAATGCAAACTTAAAAATATTAACCGACAGAATTAAAAAATATGTAAGAAAAAACAAGTCCAGTGTGTTAAACATTCAAAAAGATTTATTAGCTTTTACTTTTCAACAAACCTAATGGAAAAAATATCACAAGTTAAAAAGTGTTGTGATAAGGAGATAAACATTTTAAACAAAAAAGTTTTAATTTAATATGAAGTTTTTTTATAAAGAATTTCTTCAAAAGTAAGTTTCTTATTGTTATATATAACCCACACACATATAATATATATATATATATATATATATATATATATATATATATATATATATATATATATATATATATATACCGACGTGGGTAAACTTTTAAATCCTGTAACTATAAGACGTGCAAGTATATTACTGCGCGTATAACGACATATAGCGTTAAATAAATACCCTATCGACGGTAAATAACGTTAAACAAATACTTCAATCGTCGTGCAAATGTAGTAGGATATGATCTTTCTTTTTGCTCCGGTATCAAATAAATATTAGTTTTTTTTTTTTTTGTTGTTGTTTTTTTTTGTTGTTGAAGGCTCATCTTGTCTGTTTGCTGAAATTGTAGCTAGTGTGAGGTTAATTTTATGGGCAAAAAATGCGTGCGTATGGAGACCTCCAATTTTAAAAATCTTTTTGCAGTCAGTATACTTACATGTATTAGTATACTGACTGCAAAAAGATTTTTATAATTAAATTTTCAAAATTGGAGGTCTCCATAGTTATTTATATCACTGTCTCCCCTTTTTGTTTATTTTTTTTTTGCCAAACTTTATGTAAGAAGCCATTTTAATTATCATTTAAGAATCATTTTAATAAATGTTTAAATAACTTGCAAATTTTCCTTCAATTAAAACCAATACTATAAAATATTCACAAACAAATAACGTTTATTTGAGATAAAAATTTTTAGAAACTTGAATAAATGCGACTAACCACCAATAAATGTTAAGAATTAACAATTGCAAATTTCATTTTTTAAATTTGGTGTAAAATAAAATACTCTAATAAAAGTAATAAATTTTAAATTATTTATTTGACATAAATTATTTGGTAAAATTATTAGATTTTATACTCCCAGGATATTCTCCGGCCGGGAGAGTAAAATCTGACACGGAATAGGATGTGGCCGGCCACATCCTAATTCAAAATCTGTCAAATTTTCCTGAGATGTTGCATTTATTTGGATGAAATGCTGCATTTATTTGGACGATTACAACTAAAAGGGTTTACAATACTGTTTAGAGTTTATGATTTATAGAGGTTAATGATACAAAAATGTATTTTTTTAAAAGCCATTTTAAAAACTTCAGCGTAACTTAAGCACATGGGTTTTAGAACAATTTTTTTTAGGTTTATAGATTAATGTTATTAACCATATGGCTAAAAATCATATTTAATATACTTTTGGTTAAACTGAAATAGTATGGCCGGGGTGAACTGAATATTTTTAGATGTCGGACATTTTGCTTGATAACCTTAACAACAAATAAATTTATTTGTTATACAGCATTCTTATTGATTTTAATTCTGAGTTTCCTCATATTCTCTCTAAGCTATTTAATATCTCCTTCTTGAATGGAATTTTTTCTGACATTTTGAAATTATCTTGTGTCATTCCAGTATATAAAAACGGCTAAAAACTCTCATGTACTAACTATAGACAATTTCAATTTTATCTAACATTAGCAAACTCCTTGAAAAACTAATGTAATTTAAATTATACTCATTTTTGAGTTCCTGCAACTGTTTAAATGATTTTTAGTTTGAATTTTGATCAAAATACTCTACTTGCCACGCTTTAATAAGTATAACCAAAAAGATAAAAAAGGCACTGGATACTGGTCATTACGTTGGTAGTGTTTTTATCGACTTACAAAAAACGCGTTCGATACTCTTAATCATACCATTTTATTTTCTAAACTTGAACATTAAGGAATCCGAGGAGTTGCTTGAAATTGGTTTCAATCTTTTCTTTTAAACCGGAAGCAGTTTGTTAGCATTAATGGTTACAAATCAAATAACAAACACATAGTTTGTGGTGTTCCCCAGGGTTCTATTATTGGCCTCTTATTGTTTTTGATTCATAATAATATTCTAAATTATTCTGTCCACTTCTAATCAGTTCATTCGTTTGCTGATGATAGTAATATCTTGCATATTAATAAGTCTTATCATTCGTTGTGTAAGAATATAAACTTAGATTTAAAGGGTTTTTTTGTTTACTGGCTAAAGCAATCTTAATTTCTCTAAACTTGGAAATAATAATATTATTTTTTTCATCACCAAGACAAAAACTTTTATACAACAACCATATAACTAAAATTAAAAATAAACATTTATATTCAACACACATTGTTAATTATCTTAGTGTTTTTATAGATTCGAACTTTTCATGGAATTCTTATATAGATGTACTCCGTAAAAAACTTAATCGAGCTAATGGCATGCTTTCAATAATTCGCCATTATGTTGATAAAACTAATTTCAAGAATATGTATTTTTCAATTTTTCAGTCTCATCTCAACTGCTGTTGTCCGGTTTGGGGACAAATTGGCAACTGTAATATTAATAAATTATCAGCTCAGCGTCAATCAACTTCAAACTTCTTTAAAAAACTTAAAATTCCAACCTTGTTAGCACTAATTAGATTTACTAATCTACTTTTTGTTTTTGACTCCCTTAATAAAAACTTACCTTCCTCTATCACAACTTTATTCACTTAAACTCGATTTATACATTCACATTTAACAAGAAACATTAATAATGGAAAACTAAATGTACCTCCCTATAAAACTTTGAGATATGATAAGTATTTAATTATACATCAGTGTATCAGTGATTGGTGTTTCACAGATACACATCAGTGTATCAGTGATAACCCTAACCCTAACCCTGACGAAGTCTTGTGAGCAATGTGAATTAACTAAAGTTTTGTAACAAGTGCATGCGCTTTTTTAAGAGCCCACATGTGTAATTTAAAACAAAGTAAAAAACAAAAATTTATAAATAAGTAAACATAAATACATTAATTTACAATTCGTTGTTTTGAGTAACGTACAAAAAATTTAGAAAAGAGTCAAATTTTGAAAAACAAGCGTATAATATACTCGATACTTTTTTAAACTAAATTTTTTTAAAAAAAATAAAAATTTAAAAAAATAATATTAACATTTATCCTACTTGCATCAAACTTATACGACATTTTTAAGAGAAAGAGTTTACAGAATGCAGTTCATGCGTGTCTTTTAAGCAGGTATTGCGTTTAAGCGAATGAGAGGTGTTCCGGTTATCATTGTTAACAGAATGCTTCTTTTCTGCAGAATGCTCTTTTGAACTTATACGATGATTGGCGCCAAACGATCCCAAAGAAAAAAACAAATTGTGATTGTTTTTAGATCGTATTGACAACGGCGATTGTTTGAGATCTGCCAAATGTGACGAGTATCCATTCACAATCCACTATATTAAAAAAAGGATGAAACGACATTGTTGACATTTTAATGCAAATACATGTAAGATAGTTTCATGGTATTAAATCTTTTTTTGCAATCTCAAAGTAATGTTAATTCCTTACCTTTAATGCTTATTTTATATTTTTCATGAGAAACCATCAGATTACAAAAAGGTATATGTATAATGGTATAAAATAATGTTTTTGTAAACAACTTAAAACATGTACTTTTCTAACTTATACTTTTCTATGAATAACTCATACTTTTCTAACGTAGGGTAAAATGATATAACTAAACACCTTAGTAACGATGGGTTTAGCCCAAATAGATCTCTTAAAGAAAAGAAAAAAAATTGTAAATTTACAAACAGAATCATGAAACAGCTATGAAAATAAATAACTAAAAAATTTATAAAACCTTTTAAACATTTTTTTTAGATATTTGGCATCATCAAATTAAAGGTGTATGCCATTATATATATATATATATATATATATATATATATATATATATATATATATATATATATATATATATATATATATATATATATATATATATATATATATATATATATATATATATATATATATATATATATATATATATATATATATATAAATTTAAATATATATATATATATAAATAAATATATATATATAAATATATATAAATATAAATATAAATATATATATATATATATATATATTTATATATATATATATATATATATATATATATTATATATATATATATATATATATATTTATATATATACAACATTTTACATTACATTTTATATATATATATATATATATATATACAACATTTTCATTTTCAACAAGGTTGCAAGCAACCACTATTAGAGTTGGAAGAGAAAAGAAGAAGTTACTGGAGAAGAAAAGAAGTTTCTAAAGCAAGAAAGCGATTAACTGACAACTTGACTTGCAAATTGTATGAATCAGGAAAACAAGATGAAGGGAGCAAATTCCAAAGAACTGATGTTCAAGGAAAAAAACTAGACGAATAAGAATTTTTGGAGCATTTTAAAACAGTCACAGTAAAAGGATGGAACTTAATTGAATAACACGTAACACAAGAATGAATTTTAGTATATGGTACAAGAGACGCTAGCTCTTCAGAACAGCGCCCATTATAGTATTTATAGAATATATATGATATATATATATATATATATATATATATATATATATATATATATACTTATATACTTATATATATATATACTTATATATATATATATATATATATATATATATATATATATATATATATATATATATATATATATATATATATATATATATATATATATATATATATATATATATAATACATATATATATATATATATATATATATATATATATATATATATATATATATATTTTTTTTTTGGGATATGACTAAAAAGCACATTTCATTTTTTCATAAAATTGCATAGCGGGAAAAAATGGACTTTTACTTATATTAACATAAAATAATATTTTTTTCCAAATCAAAAAAAAAACTCCCCCACCAGTGCAAATAAAAATTTGGTTCCAGCAGACTGAAAACACAAAAATTCAAATATTTGTATTTATAATAGGAGCAGGGTCACTTAATATATTTCAAAAATAATATTAGAGTTATTTTTGTTGCTTAAACTATATACTTTTAGATTATGTTTTGTTCTTTTGGTAAAAATGATGGGAATGGTCGATCTTACCCATGTGAAATCATGTGCATATTTGGGAAGTTGGGGAATGGGGGCGCTTGCTTAACTTTTTTTCTATATACTTCTATAAAACATAAAACATTTTTATAATTGCACATTTTTTATTCAAAGAAAGACTATTTAAGGATTTTTATCCAAGATTATTTATCTGTTATTTTAAATTTTAAACAGTGATACGCTACAAACATTAAACTTGCTTCTACGTCTTCTTTTGTTTCTGAAAGTTTCAATGAAGCCTTGACTAAAATTAATAACACATTCTGCACTGTAATGTATAACAAGAAGACAAGTTTCAAATTTTTGTAAATCTTTTATATCCTTATTGTAATTATATTAGGACACAAACTACTGTTTTGTAGCTGAAGAAGATGGTATGTTAATAACAAACTCCCTGTGACATAAATCTGGCATGGTGTAAAGCCATTGGAAATCTTAACTTAATCTTATATTAACTTGTTCTTCATTGTTTCTGCCTTAAAATACTTTCCTTAGAAATTGAATAATGATTTATGCTTCACGAACTGTTGTTTATAACAGAAATTTTAAACTCAGTGCAGGTCTATCCTATTATCTAAACATTTTAATGTCTTCTTAAAATTTCTCACTAACTAACCTTTGTTTCCTAATGGACTCTTATAACCTTTAAATTTTTTCTTCACTTTTTATTTTGCAAAATTTTTTTTGCGCTACATTTTTTGAACATTCTACTACTTTCTGATCATTGAGGAAATTTACATCTTCTTTGTCTACTTTTTAAAATTTTTGTTTTATCTTTCAAAATGATATCTTCACAGTTTTTTTTGAATTTTTATCAAACATATCTTCCTTTTTTAAAAATTAAATTTTTGCCTAAATAGTTTTGCATTTCTTTTTATTTCTTTAAGTCAACAATCTTGTCTATAAATGGCTAATCAAAAATAAAAGAATTCATTCAAGATATTGGAACTAAAAACATTTATAATTTGGTATTTTTATCATAGTAATATATTACTATATTATTCAATTTAAATTTGGACTGAATTGTAACTGAAGGACTGAAAAAAAACAACAACAACAACAATCTAAAATCATATATATCAAGGTACAAAAGTAACACTCAAATTATTTTTGAAATATTTATAAGTGACCCTGCTCAAACCATAAATGCAAAATTTAATTTTTTTAAATACTTCCAGACAGCTGGGACCAAATTTTCATCTGCGCTGGTGGGGGAGTTTTTTATTGATTTGGTAAAAAGTATTAAAGGAATCCCAACCTCCCAACACATGTTGTGTTCATATTAAAGATAATGTTAAAAAAAAAGGTTTGAATCAAGTTTTTTTGATTAAAAATAAATAATGAATGCATACCGAGAAAAACTAATGTTGTTGTTTTAGCCAAAGCTCGCCTTCTCCATTTTTTTCATTAAAAATACAATTAATAGCAACACAAGTCGGCATTAGAAATTTTGATTATAAGTTTACTGTTCAATATTTATAACCATCAAATAAAAAACATGAAGTTTGCATATTTTCGCCCGTTTTTTACGAATAATATTTAACAAAAATACAGGCAAATTATTATTATATAACGCAATAATTAACACATTATTTAATAGCAATAATTCAAGATAAATGGTAATTTAAATTGTCAAAATGTCATAACGAGCGTTAAAAAATATATTATATTTGGTATTTCCCAATTTGTATCGTATTTGGCATTTGTCTATTAACATGAAAAATTAAAAAAATTTTAAAACACAACAAATACAAATTTTCAAGCAATTTTCTCTTCCAATTTTTATTTATTTAAAGAAAAGTTACTATTAAACTTTTCTCTCATCAAAAAAAAAAAAACGAGTGACACAAAAAAATATATATATATTCTATACAACTCTTATTCATTCGAAGTTTAATTACGCGAAACTTTTCTTTCTCTTTTGTTCTACTCTTTTATAAAAAGAGCGAGCGATGAAATAAGAACTTTTCTATCTTAACATAAATTTATAATTTGAGATAAAATTAAATTAGAAATAAAGCAAAAATGAACAAAGCAACTAACAGATTAATCTGGGACTATTTTGATATTAATGAAAGTAATCAACATAAACAACATTAACAACAATTATCAAATAAACAACACAATATCGCATAATTTTAGGGGCTTTTTATTTATATTCCTTAGCCGTTCTGAATAATAAGTAAAATTAGTTCAAATTAATATTTCAATATTTACAGTTGCAATATAATAAAGAAATGATGTTTAATGTTAAACTTTTTATTTAATTATTTATTTTTTACCAACATTTGTTATAAAAAACGTTTAAACCCCCGTCATTAAAATAATTTGTTTTAAATATATTTCAAAGTGATTATTCAAACTAATTTTTTTCGCTTGATTTTCCGAACTTCATGCAAAGCAAATTAAGACAAAATATTATCTAACCAAATAAAAATGCTGTTACTAAATTTATAAGGGTAATTAATGTAAAACAATTTTTTATCAGAAAAAAATAAAGAAGGCGAGCTTCGGCTAAAACAACAACGTTAGTTTTTCTTGGAATGCATTCATTATTTATTTTTAATCAAAAAAACTTGGTTCAAACCTCTTTTTTTTAACATTATCTTTAATATGAACACAACATGTGTTGGGAGTTTGGGATCCCTTTAATATTTTCTGTTAATACAAGTAAAAGTTCATCTTTTACCACTATGCCATATATATATATATATATATATATATATATATATATATATATATATATATATATATATATATATATATATATATATATATATATATATATATATATATATATATATATATATATATATATTAGTGCTTCCAATACCGGTAGTACCGGTACCGGAATACCGGTATTACCGGACATTTTTAAGTACCGAAATACCGGTATTGGTTTGGCTCAATACCGGTATTAAAAATATATGTAGAGGGCTTATGATATAGCAGGTGCTATCGCCCTCTTTACGTGAAACACTAAAGTAAATGAAATACTTAAAACTTTCAACAACGCTTCCGGTAGGAAAAAGATAGCTAGATGAGAAAAGACGTGTTTAAATTGTCTAAAACAAGTATTCTACGTACTTTATATTTAATATCTAGTTGCCAGCTCATTTCCCACTAGGTTTGGTAGGAAATGAGCTAGCAACTAGCCAGCGAACAGCTAGCGTTTAAGACGTATAAAATATGTAGAATACTTGTTTTAGACGATTTAAACACCTCTTTTGTCATCTAGCTATCTTTTTCTTACCGGAAGCGTTGTTTGATCGTGACTGGAAGTTTTAAGTATTCCATTTACTTTCGTGTTTTCATTAAATAATGAAGCACCAATTTAAAATATAATCATTACGTCACTCGCTTTAATGTCGAACGCATGTTTGAATTTTGCACTAACGTAAATATGAAAAGTTTCGGTAATGTAGAAAGTGGGGCGTTTAAGTAACTGTGATCAACAGTTATGCATTAGGCATGGGATTCAACTAGGTATTCAAGATATTTTGTACAAAAAAATCGTCAATTTCTGCAAAAAAAACTTGAAAGTAATATGCAATAACAGAGAAAGTGACGAGGAAATACTGATGACACAAACATAACCAATAATGATGAAGACTTTTCCGGCGGGTTTCAAGTAATGAGTGAAGAGAGTGACTCTATTGAACTGACTGATGATTTGCAGCCGTTAATCAAAAAGGTGCGCACCGTTGTGAAATTTTTATTTCGCCGTTCTCTGACAAAAAATGATCAAAATTCAAAAACATATGTTAGAAAAATTTGATAAAGATATTCCACTAATACTTGGATCCAAAACTAGCTGGGTTAGCTTGCACACAGTACTCAAACGTTTTGTATAATTAAAAAAATGCATTCACGAGTCACTTTTTGCCTTTGAGTCCAAAGTTGAGGTAACTAATAATGAGTCCGATGCAATATTAGCTGTTAACTTATGTCTTGCGCCAGTAAAACTGGCTGTGGAAACATTGTGCCAAAATCATGCAACTCTGTTGTGTGCCGATACAACATTTTCATGATAGATAACCTTTGAGAAATCGATTTAGCTGTAAAGTTATGTTGGTGCAACAATTCAATGAGCAACATACTCTTTTTCCAGCATACAACATTTTTTGCACAAGGGACATCAACGTTACAAGAATTTGGATCTAGCTCTATCTTTTGAGCACCATAGCAAATTAGGCATTGTAAATACCATTACTCGACTGAAAGATCGGCTCAATCAGAAAGAGTATAGTCCTCTCCCTTTCACCAGCGTTTTTTCCGATAGTGATTCTGTGGACAACGCTGTAAACTTGTCATTGAAAAAAAAGCTTGACTTTGCAATTTTGAAAAATAAGAAATGTAACAACAAGGGAAAATTGAATGTTTCGAATAATTCATCAAAAATTATATGTATTAAAATAGGAATTTTTGAAGAAGGAGGAAATCGTTGTATATATTTGCAAAATTCCTACCATTACTTGAAAACTGTGAAGCCAACAAAATTAGATGATCTTTTGAAGATGATGTTCTGAACGCCCTATGTTTTTTACGGGCTCATTTTACAAAGCAGAAAAAAGCGAAAAATGAAAAAGTCAGTAGTTTTGATATAAAATAAATAAGCTGATTGAATCAATAAAATTTTTACTATTAACTTGAGATTTTATTTAGATTATGATAAATTTAAAAATAAAGTTTAATACCGGTATTATACCGGTATTACCGGTATTGTAATTATTTAGTACCGATATACCGGTATTGAAAAATGGTATCGGTATTGGAAGCACTAATATATATATATATATATATATATATATAATATATATATATATATATATATATATATATATATATATATATATCAGCAAGATTGGCAGTCATAACATTCGAGTAATCTTTAACATAACTGCAGTCCTATATAATTTCAGTAACAGCATACAGTGTCCATGAAGGAAACTGAACTGTTTGTTTGAGACCATTATGTGCTTAGTGTTATGGATAATGAAACTGGTAATAAAGCGTTCAAAAACTCAGCATAATGTGGATGTAATGGCAATTGGACAGTAGTCATTAGATTCCAACATACCATATTGTAATACCATAACAAGGTTATAGTCTTAACTGGCGAGTAAACTACTACATCATCCTCTGCCGAAAAGGGAAATGGTATGTATGGTATTACAATATGGTATGTTGGAAAACATGGTTTACAAAAAAGTTCACACTTTAATGTGTTACAGTTTGCATTTTAA